TCTTAGGGCACCCCTGTTTTTCTTTAGGGGCCGTGAATATTGTCTTTAGTGAACGTCCATTCATATAATGTACTTTGATATTAAGTAACCCTGTCCGCTTAATTATTGCTTGTGCTTGTTGTTTAAGTTCTTCATTAATAAATGGTAGTTTCAGATAGATTGTATCTTGATCTTGATTAACCGAACGTGAGCTGTTCTTATCCATAGTACGTTTAATGGCGGAATAGACAAAAGCTTTCGGATACCCGTTCCTCATAAACATCTGTGTGACACGTTTAAGAGAATTTAAACGCGATTTGATTTGATTTTAGGAATATGCATGATATTATGCGTTAATAGTTCGCCTACAACTTTACTAAGATTTACATACAGATGTGTAAGACCAGTCAATGCATAATCATTCGACCGTAAAAGGCCTTTGTCTTATATACGTTGCTTTGTAACATACGATGTTAGTCCACTGATGAAGCCCTAACCGGCGAAACGTTTGGAATAAACCAGTAACAACAATTTATGCCTTTGAAGTCTTTTTTTCTTGTTCATATTTACCAAGGCATGGCATCAACATTGTATTCATATATATATATATATATATATTGCTATTTTTGTTAAATTTCAAAAGTGTATATGTACATCTTACACTGTTCATAGCAGTCAATTGTTTTCTCAACAATAGAGAATCTCGTCTAAGTTCACTATTCATCTTCTTCGTTAAATCCTTCAAACGCCTTTGAAATTCCATTCCCACTTTGCTATCCACTTCCTTTGCTATTTCTTTCTTTTGTGCCCATTTTTGAATAAGTAACTCAAACGACTTGGCCATAGCCTCAACTCTCTGCTCTTCAAGCTCAACATCAAGAGTAATTGTATTCAAAATATCCAAACTAATAAACAAATTTACTGGTATTTAGAATATTCAACAAAACAATAATGAAAATTGTAGAAATGCTTTTCAAATCATCAAAAAAAAAAAATAAATAAAAGTTAGTAGCAATTAGATTATCCTAATAAACAAAATTAATTGGTATTCAGAATATGCAAACTAGTAAACACAAGTTAATAGTATTAAAAATATCCAAATTAATAAACAACAGTAATGGTAATAAAGATACCGAAACTAATAAACAAAAGTTCAATATATCAAAACTAGTAGTAGTAGTAGTAAACTATTGTTTTCCAAAAATATATAAATATATTTCCGATCAATAATACAAGATTAAAAGAAAAACAGTTTCAATAAATTTGCTCATCCATTAAGACTAACTATAAATAAATAAATAACTTTCAAATTTGTCACAAAAAGAAAAAAAAATCAGGGTCCAACATTGCTTGTTTGCGGCATGTTGCATAAATCGTTGTGTAGTAATGACAAGAGAATTGATCGATGTCTACCAATTCTGCTACGAGCATTACATGTTAGTGCAAACTTAAGAGATTGAATGGCCAGTGAAAATCCAGTTGTTGTCAAGACGTGACCTAACATACCGTATTTCATCGGGATCTGCTTATTCGATTGAAAGTGGTTCAGTATTAGTGATCTCATATAGTGAAATATTGCTGATAATTTTAGGGTAATGTATGTTTAAGATTTTCCTAAGATGTTTGCAATGACATACTTTTTTTCCAAAAAATATGCACGTTGTTGCCATACCTGAACAATTATACAAAAGAATAGAAACAACAAGTTCGTCATAAACTAATATTTTCAATTTAAAAGCTATGTTACTGTCTTTCCACGCTTTCTGGTATTTATTAAATGCAATGTTAGGAAGAGTAATTTTGTTTTTAATGTCTTTGTCTGTGTTAATTATTGAATCAATTAATTTGTAAGTTTTCTTTTCAGTTTTTTCCTCATCGTCTATTTGAAAGGTTACAAAATTGGTTTTCTCTCTATTAATTAAATACACAATTAATTAAGTTCTTCAGTAAATATTGGTAAAATATGTTTTAGTTCTTCAGAGCTACATATTTTTTTTTTATTTAAGAAGATCATCAGCATAAACAGTTGCGGGGGGTAAATTATTGCAGGAGATTGGAGGATGAGGCTCGTTTAAAACAAAATGTAATTCAATTAATGCTTCTGCAAAATTTAGTGTGAACAGTTTGCCCTATAAACTGTCTCCTTAGAAGGACCCGATCTAACTTATCACACTTGTTGATTCTGATTTTCCAATGTTAATTTTAAGTTCAGTGTTTGATAATAAATATCGTATAAGTTTAATTTCACTTTAAGTATATCCAGCTTGTTGAAGAAGTGTGGTTAATTTGTCGATTGCATCGAATGCTGATGACAAATCAATTCCCATTTTTGAGTAGCTCCATCGCTTTTTATATACAACGCTTAATAGCATGCGATGGCACCAAACGACTTCAGAAGTGCTTTTTCATTTCTTATAAACATCAAACTTTAATGAAATTTAAAATAAAAGTTAATTGTATTCAAAGTATCCAAACAAGTAAACAAATAATGGTATTTAGAATATTTCAAAGATTACTAATAGATTAGGTTTAATTAGGTTTAATATTTTCTAATACTAACATTATTGACAGTAATATACTTGGGATATGAATTATATTTATAAAAAAAATACCAGATACAAGGAGAAGTAGTTATTGTAATGCATTACATACATGCAAAATGTGTACAGTGAAACCTCTAACACAATAGTAGTAATAATAATAATAATAATAATAATAATAATAATAATAATAATAATAATAATAATATTATTATTATTATTATTATTATTATTATGTATCGATAACTATTTTATTACACTTTCGTAATCACCTCCTTGTAAAGTTGTATTTGTTGGATAAATTAGTTCTTGACCTGGTCGAATTCGTCGCTTACCAGAGATGAAATGCCACAGATAAATCAAATTCCTAAGCCCAAATATGATAGCAGTCGCTTTTAAAACGTGGGCGCTTATGGTATTGATTTTTTAGACCTACTTGATTACATAATATGTTGTATGGTTCATTTCATGATTCGATACAAGGTACCCTTTCGCACATTCAAAGCTAAGGCTGGTATGGCTCCAACATACATTTGCCAACACGTTGACCCTTCTACTCCATCTTGGTCCCTACTTTCATCCTCAAATGATCTATTTATTGTCTCATCAGCTCGTTCAAAGACTTATGGTAAATGGGTCTTTTATTTCGCTGCCCTAAAATTGTGGAATTCTTTGCCAACATATCTTTGTAGTGCAAATTCTACCAATCATTTTAAAGCACAACTAAAATCCTACCGGATTAAAATAGCTTTTAACCTTTATTAGAGTTGTTGATTTCTGTCTCTTTCAAACAAATTTTTAATTATTTTCCCCCACTTTTATATATGTACACTTGCTATCGATTTTGTGATAATGATGTATTTTATTGTGGTTTTAATGAATTGTTGAAAATGGCATAATTTGAATTGGTTTAATTATGCATTTTTATTGTTTTATCGATTTGTATTTTTCTGATAATTTTTTTTATAAAATTATTAAAAAAAAACATAAAATAAATAAAAAAACAAGTAAATGATAAAAGAAATTAAAAGTAAATAATAAAATTAATTCAAAATTTTATTCACTTTTGAAATTTGCTTTTAAAAACATTTTTATGACATTTTAAATTTGTGTTAAAATTGGAATGGTTATTTGGTTAGTGAATGCTTTGAACTTTTAATGTATTTTAGTTAAAATTTTAAATTTTAAATTCTGCGCATTGAGATGTTGTCTGATATTTTTTTCGCTAAAAACCATCATCATCATCATCATCACCATCATCATCATCATCATCATCATTACTATTATGGAAAAATCTTTAGTGCGTTTGAGGTTGTATCTAGATTCAGTTGGTTCTAAGCTATGTAAATTCTGTTGTACATGGCAAAAAGTGTATTTATTAAATAACTGGCTGTCTAAATCACACTAAAGTATACACATACACCAACATTGTTTACGCCGGTAAACAATGTTGTGATGATGGTTTTCACTGTTTATGGCAGTTTTTTTCGTTTTAGGTGACTCTTGGTTTAGTTCTTTTTTTCGCTTTTTATCTCTCTGTTTATGTTAAGCGCATAGAAGCTTTGGCATTATGCGCTATATAAATGTATTATTATTATTATTATTATTATTATTATTATTATTATTATTATTATTATTATTATTATTATCATTATTGTTATCGTTATCGTTATTGTTATTACCATTATTATTATTGTTATTATTATTATTATTATTGTTACATTCCATTTCATTTTACTTCTTTATAGGCACGAGCGCCAAGGATATGCCAGTAAGTGAACTTAATCACTGTCCTACGTGGCATATCCATTTAACAACAGTGGACTTTAATTTATTAAAGTAATAATAATAATTTATTACATTGCACTGATCAGTAATTGAAGCATACATCATATTAAACTATAATGTATTTGTTGTTGAATTAGTAGGTTTTTTTTTTTTATTGATCATTAATATATTATATTGTGTCATTATCTATTGTTACTTTTATAATAATCTATTTTTACTTTATTTGCGAGTATGGTAGCTGTAATGTTGATTGTAATTGTGATGTTTATTATTATTGTTGTATTTTATTATTATTAGTATTATTATTATACATAGGCGACAGGACGGCACCTAGTAAACACATTAAAAACCATGAAAAAGACGTAAATATTTATGCGTATGGGAATCACAGCCTGCTGCTCAGCTTGTCAATATATAGTGTAGATGAATACATATACTGTAACATTAATACTCACTTATCAAACTCTATGTATTTCTTTGAACTCTGTTCCAGAATTAGAATCATAACTATACTCTCATTCACTGATACCAATCTGAAAATAACAAACATGTATCAAGATTTGAAAATGTAGTTTATTAGAAAAAAGCCACCTTGTTATGTTAACTTATTAGTAACATCCAGGAGCGGATCCAGAGACTTAAATAATAAAAAAAAAAACATTTTGTTTAGGGGCCCGGAGATTGCTGCTCTAGCGATTTGTCATCAAATTGAGTATTGTTGTTTTACTGACAGACAGATACCATAAATATAAAAATTTTGTTAGTATACATTGATTAAAATTAAACAGGCAATGATAAACAAAACGCCTTCAAAAATAGTTAAACCTACAATTAGAGCATCAACAAGAAATTGGCTTATACATGAATATTACCGTGTTGACTTTGCAACAATTAACAGCCGACATGCTGCAGGCTATCGAACCATATCTCAATTATCTGTTTTATACCACCAAGATATTATTAGTTTAGGACCTGCCTACGATTTGTACTCACTTAATTTGGAAGAAAATGTCTCAACTGATATAGACCAATATTAACAATAGGAACAACATATGTTTGCCAAAATCTGTATCGGGGACGAACAGTCCGAAAATGACCACACCCTTTTTAAAATAACGACGCCCCCTTTTCATTGGAAGTGCTACTTTAAACAATAGGCTAGACAATATGAACAGATTGTCAGAAAAGGTTATTCTTATATAAAAGAGAACATATGACGAGGTGATCAAATTTCAGAAATCTCACGTCCCATTCATATTATAGAAAATATCCTAAATATGAAAGGTAAGAGCCATGCCCCTTTTTGATGCGAAGTACTACTTTAACAGTAGGTTAGACAATCTGAACATCTTGCAAACAAGGGTTTGTCTTTATCATACGTGATGAGGGATTAAAATTTCAGAAATCAGACCATGGTCTCATGTCCTGTTCATATGCAAATTAGCATAAATATGCAAAAAAAAATAGGGCCACGCCTCTAATTTGAAGCACCATTTGAAAACGGTAGGCTAGGCAATCTGAACATAGACAAACTAGGGTTCTTCTTTTATAAATGAACACATGATGAGTGGATAAAATTAAGAAATCACACTGTGGTCACAAGTCTTGTTGATATGCAAATTATCTTAAATATTTCAAAAACATAAAGACCACACCTCTGTTTAACATACTTTAAACAGTAGTCTAGACATTCTGAACATTTTGCAAAACAAGGGTTAATTTAAAAAAATGAACACATATAATAAGATGAAATTTAAAAATTCACACTATGGTCACATGTCCATTAACATGCTAATTAGCTTAAACATGCTAAAAATATGGGTCGCGTCGTTACCTTAAACAGTAATAATAATAATAGTGATATTCTTTATTTCGTCCTCAAATATAATACACTGTGGGAATTTGAGCTGGGTCCCTATGGACCCACGGCAGCCGCAGTGCAGCGCTACCCGACTTAAACTTACAACAAATAATAGATGGTCCTTAACTCGCCCAAATCTCCTGAAAGGGTTATTCGAGGAGTTGAGCATTTATGAAAGACCTGAATTCAATACTCGGCTGCAGAGCCGGGTCTCGAACCCGGGCCCTGGCGTGCATGAGGCAGGAACCATATCAATAGGAAAAAAACGCTCAGCTGAAGCTAGTCAATTTAAATGGGACTAATTAATTGTGATTAATGTAATATTTTTAAAATTTTATCCTCTCATGTGTGTTCATTTATACAAGAAAATCTATTGCTTGCAATAATGTTAAATTGTGTAGCCTACTGTTTAAAGTAGCGCTTTAAATTTTAAAAAAAGTGTTATGGCCCTATTTGCATTTGGACAGGACGTGTGAGCATGGTGTGATTTATAAAATGTCATTCCCTCATAAATTCTGTTTATTTACAGAAGAAAAGCCTTTGTTTCCAGTACTGTCAGATTCTAGTCTACTGTTTAAAGTAGCACTTCGAATTAAAAGGGGCATTATTTAAAATAATCGTTATCAAAAATATATCTGTTTAGATACATACGAAGATTCTTCATAACTACAGGCAATTGTCTTTCCTGCTAAGTTGCTGTCTATCAAAAGCCCTCGTGTTTGTCCCCTCTCTACAGGCTGCACGATCGAATATGGACCTATGTAGCAGAACTGGATGCATAGAATAGCAACAATTACAACAAAGATTACAGCGATCAGAACACATATAAAGAAGGCGAGTGCGGCTAAGCCGTGTTTTGTCACAGGCTCAGAGGAATCATAATTTGCAATAATCTGCACACAAATGCTATCCTGAATAGGTCCATGTTGAGTGCCTGAAAACTGGAAAACTCATAAACATTAGTAAGATATAACCAGTTCAATATTAGTTCATAATAATGCACATGCAGTATATTTAAACAATAATGCAGGCTCAACAACAACTGAAATTAGTCTACAAAAAATGCCAAGACCTGATACAGGATGTAAAGGTAGGATACTTACACTTACAAAAGGCAATGGGATAGAAGTATAAAAAAATAACCACTAAACTCTAATTCTAAGAGTAAATATAACTTTCAGACATAATTCCACCATAATATATTATTTTGCAAAGCATAGTAGGCCTACTGCTAAGAGAAAGGAATGGTTATATTGAGCCATATCATCGATAAGCGAAAGTATTCACTGCACAAAAAAAAACTATAGAAATGGCTTTAAAAGAATTAAAAAAAGTGATAATAATAATTCAAATTATAACATTTTTTAAGTTTTGGAACTTAAAAAAAATGGCCTAATAGACATTATTAAGATAAGATCAGTGTATAATTTTTATTTTTAAAAAAAGAACAATATTATACACTTAGCCTATATTATATTAGTAAATTAATTGTTACAGTATGGGAGTTTTATCTATTTTAGTATAGTTTGTTTGAGCTTACCAAAGGTTTTAAGTGGGATTTTGACAGGGTTTTCCATTTAACAGTCACTGGTAAATACAGATTTTCACCATCCCTAGAGAGTGTATCTGCATTGAAGTATGCTTTGTATGAAAGTGTTATATTCTCTCCAACTAAATAATAGATAAAATTCATTTTAGAGAAATTTATGATGGAATAAAAATAAATACACCTTAAAAAAACGACAGCTAACAACATACAAGAGCCAACAAAAAACAACATTAATAATCATTTAAATATATTGAAAAAAAAACTGAAATAAAAATAATATTAATATAAAATAATTAAAAACTATGTTAATAATATTATAAAAGTTAGATATCTGGTTTGTTAGCGATATTTGTTTGTCCATTTTTAATCGGATCTAACCTTAAGCAGCTCAATTCCAGCCACACTGGGAACCATACTATTATTTTGGCTTTCTTTTCACTAAGCTAGAAACAATGCCACTGTCTTGGCTGTCTAGGCACGCCCCACCCTCTAGCACAGACTGTGAATGCTGCAGCTTTTGTATTAGCCTTTTCAAACATAGTCCCAACAGCAAGTCTCACTATCCGAACATATTATGTATCATAACATCAGTTATTTTCAGAACTATCTATGTGGTTTACCACAAGCATTAAATACAATATTAAAGCTGATAATAATAATACTTCTGTAGTAGTGACGATGCAGCGTGAGATTAAGATGCTTGCCTTTTAAACCTACGATCCTGGGTTAAATTCCTCTGAAAGCACAAGATTGTTTTATGTCTAATTTAAAACTTCACTCCCAATGAGACTTATCTATAATATAGCACCAAATTGCTCATTTACACACGAGGGGCCCACCCTTTATGATATACTAGAAGTGTCACCCTTCATAGTTAAAAAAAAAAAACATTTTACTGCAGAGGATAATATTCTATCTAAAAGGAGCAGCAAATGCATATAGAATAGTGGAGTTGAATAGCTCAGTGGTTAAGATGCTTGCCTTCTGATCCCAGGATCCTGGGTTCATTTCCTGTCACTAGCAGGACTTTTTTTCTCACGACAAAAACCAACTCCACTCCCTATGCCTCATAAAGAGACTTAGTTTATAAAGCATCATTCTAATCCTTTAAGTAGCAAGTGAACTTGCTGTTGAATGCGAGAGAAAAAAAAATGGTGATCTCAACTTTTCCGATATTTTTGAATGTGTAAATAAAACATAATATGTAAATATGAATTTCATTAACGTTCCTTAAAGGAAACCTGTGGGTAACTGTTTGAGTCAGAAGGATAGCTACTATAGATTCAGTAATATACTTGACCTTGTCCTTACATGCAAACCTTCATGAAATTGTACTTTTCTTCATAAATTTACATGTTCAACATTCATTCATAAAACCAAATCCTGTTTACAACTGTAGGAAAGCTATTTTTTAAGAAATACGTCATGATTCATCTACAATGGGAATTTTCAATTGCTTGAAAAAGAATAGCAGCTAGAAGTGCATAAATAATTGATTGATTATTGACAATAACGTACTTGGTAACGAACTTTGGCGTAATGCGAACACCCTATCTGAGATCCATGGTAACGAATAGGATGCCCTCTCCCAAAAGTGATTATTTTTCTGTGCCAAATCGACGCTTTTATTTGTGACGCGTAAGTCGCGGAGAACGCCATCTTGTTTTTATAAGGTCTTTGCTAGAACCTTATCATTGGCAAGTCATGATGTGCACACAAAAGTGACACAACTATTACTTTACAAACTCAACCTACTGACTGGCTTAAGGACTGGACAACAACAACTATCATTTCACAACCTCTAAATAACCGTTGGTTTAAATGACTAGAACCTTATCATTGGCAAGTCATGATGTGCATACAAAAGTGACCTAACTATTATTTACAACCTCACCATACCGACTGGCTTAAAGACTGGACAACATACTATTGGAAAGCCATAATGTGGATACCAAATTTCCCGTCCATCAATTTCCAAACTCTCCCTACCTACTGGCTTACAGGCTAGCAACCTTGTACCAAATTGCCCCAATCTATGACTTCACAGCCTCTCCCTACCGACTTGCTTAAAGACTGAAACTTTACCATATACCTCACAAGTCGCGTTGTGCACTCCAAATCGCCCCATTTATCACTGTAGAACATGTATATACCTCTGACTTAAAGACTGGAACTTTATCATTGCCAAGTCATGATGTGCATAATCATTTTTCATCTATCACTTCACACTATCTTCCAATTTACTGGCTAGACTAGAAACCTTTCCATATTATGTAAAAAATATTTATTTTTCCTTTTTTACGGTCTTATTAATAATAATGTTAGAATTATACATCGCATAATTCTAAAACTTCAATACGCTAAACAGCAGAAAAAAGGAGAATAATAGAAATAAATATTCTAAAACTAGGAGAGACAGTTACTACTAGGATAACAGTAGATTATAGTCAATCGTGCCGAATACTCGTAAAATTATACCAAAGTAATAACAAAAAAGGTAGACCTACCTTTTAATGAATTGTTTGTGTATGTCAGACTGGAGACGGTTACTATTAGGCGAACATTGCCGAATACTGGTACAAATATATTATAGTAGTTTACAAATACAGCAGGCTTACCTTTTAATGAACTGCTTGTGTATGACAGACTGGATACAGTTACTATTAGGCCAACAGTGCCGAATGCTGGGACAAATTCATCAAAGTAGTCAACAACAAATCCGTCAACGTAATCAACAATGGAAACTTCAAATGCTCCAGTATTGGAATTCAATACATCATGTGATACTACAGTTGTAAAGTACAACACTTGAATTATGTCACTATTGACATCTACAACACCATCCTAAATAAATATGAAACGTTATTATATACCAGAATATTATAAAGATAACATATAAAACTTAATTCAACATTTGAATGGTTTACTTAATGGAAAATCTACTAAACCCAAGGACATCTTTTCCAATTTTCCTACAACTAGATTTGTCGCTTTCAGTCACCCTTAAAAAAGATTTGTTCAACTGTTCCAATTGAGTTGACAAACCTACTCACAAAAATAGTCATTCAATTGACATCATTGCTGGACATGTTTGATTTGCCTAAAATTTCTTTCATGAACACTCCTTTCTCCGATCAATCTGTTATTTCATGCGTTCTTAAGTATTTCCTATTTCTAAAAAGAAAGAAGCCTGAGTGATGAGATTTAGAAACAGCATCAGAAAAAAAAATCAGTTTGGAAACTTCATTGACGATTTTAGTTTTTCCTGCCTGACATCGATGTTGTGCAACGGGCGGATCCGCAGCTGTTGTGTAGTAGTATACGGTATGTGAAGCTATGAAATCAACACTTGATAAACATGCTCCACTCGTTGAAGTGACTACGTCAGAGCATCTCAGCATTTGATTAATTATGTAATATTGGTTACTCTGAGTATGCGCCTTGTCGCTGAAAAAAAATATTCAGAAAACCATGCCTTATTGTTCACCGTGATATTTACGCCGATGAGGTTTAGAATAAACCGAGGTCATAATTGCTCCCAAGAAGCATTATTCGGAAATAATTCGGTAAACATTTTAAAACACTGGATGATCTCACTCCAAGTACTTCTACGTATCTAGCCTGAAAATTTATTTCATCAAGAAATAGCAGATACATTTTCCTAGTTTTTATTTTATAAGATTACTGGTATTAGGTCTGGTCTAAATGTCAAGAGTAAGGTAGATAAAGCCCATACAAAAAAATTCTATCAAAAAAACCTATAGAATGTCTATAGCATAATTGTTTAGAAAATCTATAGAAAATTCTATAGAAATAATTATAGAAGCCCACTATAAAAAGTCTATTTAAAATCTATTAAAACTATATTAAAAATCTATTAAAACTCTATTAAAAATCTATGAAAACTATATTAAAAAGTCTATTTAAAATCTATTAAAACTATATTAAAAATCTATTAAAACTCTATTAAAAATCTATGAAAACTATATTAAAAATCTATTAAAAATTGATAAAAAAAATTTTTAAATCTATAAAAACTCTACAAAAATATATTAAAACTATATTAAAAGACTTAAAAAACTATAAAAATTATATAAAAAACTATGAAAATTCTATTAAAAATCTATAGAAAGTCTATGAATATTTCATATAAAAAAACCTTAAAAAAAATATAGAAAATCTATAAACAATTTTATAAAATCCACTTATAAATCTATAAACATTTTATAGAAAAAACTGATAAAAATACATTAAATATGCGAATAGAAATTCTATACAATTGTATAGAAAGTGTATATAAATTAACGATTTTATATAGAAAATCTCTATATTCTATAAAAAAAAAATAAAATGTGGGCGTTGTGTGTTTTTGGACAATTCAACTGGTCTTCAACTTTAACTGGCCCCAATTTAAATTGGTTTGCAATAGTTCCAGTTCCAATTGGTAACAATGGCTTTAATCAACTTCTCCAGACTTACAAAATACACTCTGAGTTCATATACAAACCATAATTTTTTTAATTTAAAACACCAACAAACATCATACGGTAGGGACATTACTAGCATACCCCTTCATATATTATCGTTTTGCTAATGTCTTACTGCTAAACATACTATACCTCAAATTTAAGTCTATTCTACAGTTCTTTGCTTTACAGTCTGGTTGAAATAAGCATTTTTTTAGTAATGTAGTCCTATTACAAGAGTTTATTATATAAAACAATATTCAAGAACCATTTGTGTTACAGGTGTGCATAAACCAGCATTCTTTGTGATATTGCAGCAGCAACTGTCCATAACCAAGCCTTTTCTTGTCCGATGGTATCAAGCTAAATTAGTATGAACTATGCCGTTGAACAAATCTAGTTTGAAATATTGAATCACTGTGACTTGTACTAAAATTTTTCGACATTTCAATCTTGCTGAAAGATATAACAAAACAAAATCTTTAAAAAGAATAATAATGGTAAACTTATACAGTATATAGAGCGCATGTTATAGAAACCTCTATTAAATGAATTACATCCCTTTATTATTGTATTGAAATAGCAGATGTACCTAATGACAGACTAGCAGTTACTTCTTTTTTTAATCAAAAGAAAATTATTTTTTTTAGTTTCAAAACAGCTTAGCCTACATTACAATTTCAATATCCTTTAAGGCCAATATAGGCCTAATATATACACATTAAATTTGATTATTTGATTAAACTCTATAGTGTAAACTACAGCATCATCTATAGCATGTTGTTAATAATTAATAGTACAGGACAGTAAAAGTAAAACGTCAACAAAACATTATATTCACCTTTAGAATGTCAGGTAATTTTCTGTTCCTTCACAGATACGTCTTCAAACAAACATTAATGCTTTCCTACTACAGTACAATAATTGAGTTGACTGGATGGAGTTTTCTCTTACAGTATAGGCCTTTTGATTACATTAACTTTCTCCAAATAATGATACAATTTTTTCACACCCCCCCCCCCCGGTTAACCGTAAACCGATTATTTTATTAATGTATAGAATGTCAGGTAATTTTCTGTTCCTTCACAGATACGTCTTTAAACAAACATTAATGCTTTCCTACTACAAGATTGAGTTGACCGGATTGAGGTTTCACTTAATTACTGTAGTAGTACAGAGACTTGAGTATCCTGAAATAAAATCACCATTTATCTTAGTATAGGCCTAGAGATTACAATAACTTTCTGCAAATAATGATACAATTCTTTACACCACCCCCACCCCGGTTAACCCTAAATCCATTATTTTATTAAAGCATCATGGATATTAGTGAGGACACGGCCCAAATGCAATTTACCACTCTTCTTAGACATGGCATGCTAGACTATGGGGCAATTAACTTACAGCTTGGCTAGGCCAACAAAAGGCCCAGGTTCAACGACTAGCCCTATATCCTCAATGGCCTAGAGAGAACAGAGAACCTCAGTTCTGTCTGTCTCTGTACTGCGGCTAGGCTAGTATTACCGGTCAGCTAGGCTTAGGCTAGGCCAGGCCAGGCCTCCATTCAAGCCTTTATCTACCACTAGGCCTAGGAGGAGGCTAGCGTGTCTGCTAGAGTAGTAAAGTATAACTAAATAAGTGTAGTGACGACCCCCGTACGTTCGTATCCCCGATCTACGCAGGAGGACATGACCTCAAGGTCAGCTCATCTGCATAACCCACAGCCGGGTGTGCTGCATAGCCGACCAGGGGTACCTGGTGAGATATAGTCACTCGTACACTAGACCTTATGCTGAGAGCATCGTTTACCTTACTACAGGATTCGTTCAGGTGTATCTGGTGTCCGGGTCTGTTATACAAGGTGTATACCGAACTATATACGGTGTGTACTATATTGTGATTGATATATATTATTCGAGTATTGTCGCCTTAAGAAGATACCCCATTGGATAAAGGTAAGCACCACTCGGTACCTTTAATTATCACAGTATATAGGCGATAAATACTACATTGGCGCTGCGAGCAAAAGGCTTGTAGACAAGGCTTGTTTTTTAGGGCCTGTGTAGGATAATTAGTTTGTTTTTTAGTGCCTGTGTAGGATAATTACTACATTGGCGCTGCGAGCAAAAGGCTTGTAGACATTGCTTGTCATTATTAGTGCAAAGGTATAGTACAAAAGTACTATAATAGTTTTTTGAGAGCTAGTAATAGGCATAAGTATTGTTTTCGCACGTACTTTGTATTGCGTTATTAGCGGCTCTGTTTTTTGATTAGTTAGGTTTTTTTTCTGTGGGGAGAAGTGTTCGGGGCCGGCAATTGGATTGCGGACCGGCGAGTACCCTCACAGCTAATTATTAATAGAGACTAGGTTTTTAGCGTAGTTTTTAAATAGGGACATTGTAGAGGGAAGCGTACAGGGCCACTAACTATATTGTGGTGCGGTCTGTCGAGTACCTCTACAATTAGTTTTTATAGACTAGGAGTATTTTAGTTAGGCGTATTTTGCGGTTCGTTTGTTTCAACCTTTCACGTCGGCGTGCCTTCGTACGTCGGCTGTTGTGTGAGGTTGTGACGCGTTGCGGCCGTATTACGTAATACTATAGCGTGGGCGGGAAGAAGTGTGCGAGACACGCGTCTCGTGCATAGATAAAATTCTCCCACGACTATTAGATTACGTATAGATTAGGATTAAAACATTTAGCTAGGAGATAGTTAGGTATTTTAAACTCTGTTTTGTTGGAGAATTGTGTAAACACGTCGTCTAGATATTACCCTAGGCCGTGTGTGCTGTTTTATTGTGCGGAGCTTAGTGCATATCTCCACTAACTCATTTGCATACAGGTTAATGGTTCTGGTTTTATCCACAGGTTTCAATAACTAGTTGTTTCATTGTAGCTTGTGTGATACATGTTATTTTAGATATTTTATATTGTATTCACATTTATACTTGCATATCTATTTTTACATTTTAACCAGATTGCCTGGGATTTCAGGTTTTAAATTGATATTTGTGAAGCATTGATTTGTTTGTCTATTGTATAATTTTATCATTGCTAATCCACTTATTTCAATTTTACCTATTTGACCTTTGACCTGTATGTGTGCAATTTTTCCAATAAACAATGTCAAAGTTTAATTTTATTGTCAAAATAAATTTCTGTGACGAGAGGGATCTGTATGAACTCCCATGTGTAAATAAAAGACGGGCTCAACAGATAATCCGTTGGAGATCACGTTATGGAAACTTAACGCCAGATAGCTTAAATGTCATTAAAGGGGTTAGCAGGTCAAATTTAGAGAAGCATATAGACTTCACTCCTATTCCTGAATGGGGAGGAAATGGTGTACATACAGTGATACGTTCAGTATCCTCGCAGGCTGATAGCAAGAACCTGGCTGCTGCTTCCAGTAGTCGACAGCTCCCATTAACTCCTTCCACAAACCCCTCTCATTACCAACATGAAATGGCATTCCGTTCTGGGATTAGACCATCTCGCGCTCCTGCACAGGGTGGGTCGGGTCCAGATTTCCTGGATCCGTATTATGGGCCAGCATCCCGGTTGGGTAAGTCATCATCTAAGGGGAAAAGCAGGAAAACCCACCGTACTGTCAAATCCTCCGAAGAAAGTGAGAGTGAGGAGGAGAGTGATAGTGAAAGTGAGAGTGAGGGAAGTTTTGATGAGGATGATAGTGAGGTTTTGCGAGGTCGGCAAACCTTTCTGGAACACGT